CCTGCCATACGTGTCACCTCCTCTAAGAAGATGAACTTAGTGTGCTTCACGGTAATCATCAGTCCCTCTCTATGCCCCCAGGACAGGCACACCCTCGCCCTGCTGGCCAGGAGTGCCCCAGGGAGAGAGCCGTTCTGCGTCAGCTCGAGGGCTGGGAGCGGGAGACGGCACACCTTGTTCCCAGCTGCCCATCAAAGGGCCTCCCACTCGGAGAACGCAGCGCTTTCAAAACCTCTTGTTCTGCCCATTTTGCTTCAAAACACACAGGTGCACTTTTATGTCCTGCTAAGACGCAGGGGGGCGAGGCGCGCTTTGAAAAGGCTGGCTGCTCCCCTGGGGTCTCAGGGAGACCAAGGCCGGACAGGGTGGCATGTCCAGGCATATTTCCGGGAGTGGCAGGGCAAACGCCACACGAGGCAGGGCTCTCCATCGGAGGGTTCCAGCGCTTACGTTTGGCCAGCTGGGTGACCTCCGCAAGCCTTCCTCACCTGTAAATGGGGCACTGCAAACGGTCGTCTGTGAGCGCCCTGGGCTGACGCACAGACCACCGGGGAATGGGTGAGGGATAGGAGGGCTCTCGCCAGGTATAAAGGGTGGGGTGGGAGTGGGGGGCAAAACCTGAAGAGGGGCCGCCCAGCAGTTGTCTCTCCTCTGGGGTCCTGGCCCTTTGACTTTCTCCTTCCCTCTCCTGACGAATGGCCAGCACTACCCTGTATCAGGGAGACACTGGCAGGTGAATTTTGCTGGCAGGTGTCTGTGTGTATATATGTTGTGCGCTTGGAGCTACACACCCAACATGTTGATTCTCAGCGAAGAAGAGGAACAGTCAAAAACCCGGGAGGCTGAATGATGAGGAGGAGTTTGCTGCCTCTCACTAATGCAGACAAACGAAGCACGTGGTCTTCAGATCCGACTTCTATTCCTGTGGCCCCCAAACCACGCCCAGATGCTAATTTTCTCCCTCTTTTGCAGGCAGATAGGCAGCTCAGAGGGCAAGCGCCTCCTGAGAAGCCGGGACTTGGCGTTGGCCCCAAAAACATTCACTCCCTTTCATTTCTTGAGCTCAGCCTCTGAAAGCATCGACGGAGCTATCATCTTCCCTAAAATTTAAAGCATTCCCTCTGAGCTCAGGCTCCAGGCATAAAAGGAGCGGGGTCTTTCCGGCAGTGCCTCAGGTCCATGAGACACTGACAATCCAGCCTCTTCGTAATGGGAGGACAAAAATCCCATCCCAGACCTTACACCCTCCTTTCATGCCCTCTCCACGCTGTTCCCTGCTCACGCCTCTCACCTGCTCAAGTCTCCAGTGGGTTCTCCCCACACCTAGAATGAAATCTAAGGTTCTTATCATGGTCTGCAAGAGCCTACAAGAGCTGGCCCTTGCCTACGGTCTGGCTCCACTTTCTACGCCTTTTCTCTTGTGTACTCTGCTCAGGCCACACCAACCTCAAGCTTGACAACCACAGGACCTTTGCACAGGCAATTAGCTTTGCCCAGAGTGTTTTTCCTATAGAAAGCTTAAATATTCTTTACTTAGCCCAGAATACTGAGTCAAATGTCCACTCTTTGGAGGGACCTTCCCTGACTCTTTTGTATCCCCGAATCGTACGCAATGTTTATCACCCCCGGCACTTCCCCTGCCTTTGTTTTCTGACACCATGTACTTATCGTATAGCTGAAAATATTTTCCATGCAACTAGGTTCCCGGAGTTCAGAGACCTCCCTTCATTCCCCACTGTGCTCCTAGAAGAGTGATCTTACATAATCTTTAATAATCACCCGAAAGGTAGGTCTTATCCCCATTTTACGGATGAGAAAACGGAGGCCAAAAGAAGTCCAGAGGTTACAATCTACCTAATCTCCCAGGTCGCAGGTGTTAAACCCAGGACTGAAACCCAGACTTCTTCAGTGCCAACCCAGTGCCAGGAGACGCAGCTCCACAGGCCTCACGCTCATGTGTGTTTTCTGTGTAGGCGAAGAATGAAAGGCCCCGGCTGCTTTTTATGTGGGTCATTTTTTTCCAGGTTGTGTTTGCAGTAAGCAATCATGAAACCTGAGGGGGTAGCCTGCTTCCTGTTTGCTACACATGGTGGATTCCCCACACTCAGGGTTCCTGGTCTACACTGCAGCCCACCGCATGTGCAGGCATCTGTCAGGGACCTCTGGCCGGTCCCCGTGGACAGAGGGCCAAGGGGAGCCGACACAAACCCAAAGCTCACGCTGCCAGCTGTGCCATGAGTGATACAGCCCCTGGTCTCTGACTCAGGGGTCCCGTGTCTTCTGCCAGCACCCATGAAACAAGAATAGGCTAACTCATTAGCCTGTAAGTGACATCAAATCAAATCCCAGACTTAACACCTATGCTGTTCTGCTTTCCAGACGGTAAAGTATTTTACTATCAGCAAAATGGCCCTGTGGATGGGGCCACTTTCTGTCTCATGCCTTCCCCCACCTGGTGACCGTCACGTCTCAAGGACCACCTCCCTAGTAACACTTCCCTGATTCCCTCTCCACCGCTTTTCCCTCTCCAACCCTCCACAGGACCTTTGCACAGGCGACTCGTTTTTCCCAGAATGCTCTTCCCGTTCTGAATGGGAATTCATATGAGGCTCGGGTGTGTTAGATGGAACAGACCAGGAGAAAATTTGATTTGATTGAAGGAGAGAGAGATACCAGCCTTAGGTAGTAACCACAGAACCTATCAAGCCAGTGAATTTGGGAAAATACA